TGCGAAGTGATTGGGGCCAGCACCATCAGCAGGTACTAGTGGCGGCTGCTGCCTCAATCACCCCTCAGGAGCAGCGGGGAGGTGGAGAAGCCCTTAGGGGCGATTGAGGCCAACAGCCGCCACTTGCACCTACTGATGGCACCTAGAGATTGGGGCCTGCACCAGGCACCAGCAGTGTGTGTGAGCGCTGGGCAGGACTGCAGCATGCGGGAGCAAAGAATTTTCAGTCACCACCAGAGGCTTGCCCCAATGACAGTGACCAGTGCCCTGCTCACCTGCTCCATCATCCCGCCACACCTGATCCCCACCTTGTTTCGCACTCTGTCTTCTGATGCCTATGCCTGCCATGTTCCGAATGTGCCCCCTGATTGTCAGTGCTCATCATAGTGACACTGGTTGTTCAGTTGTTTGGTTGTTCCAGTCTATTTGCATATTAGCCATATATATAGTTCCCAGCTTAATGTACTGCTTATACCAACATACTGAGGAAGCACCTTTAGTAGTTCCTCCGGCTTTGGATGAACTGTTCCATCTCACCTACAATTTTGGAGCCTACTAAAATAGAATCTAAACTGAGGCAAAATTGAGAGAAGAAAGAAGAAATATCTCAAAAGTAGATCCTAGAAGATTTTGTGATTGATTATTTTGGGGGATTAGAAGTCAAGAGATGGGAATATAAAGAAAGGAAGTGGTAACACTTCCCAAGCTGACCTCACCATCTATACTTCCTTCTTTAATTTTCTCTTGCTCCAACTTCAGGCAAAAAAAACCAGCCAATTTTTGCAGAAACAATATTCCTGGAAATGTGCACTTCTACTCCTCTCCCTTCCTTCCTTGTGCCCTCACTCATCCACACACTAAAATCCAGCACATGCAGTACAGTTACATAATTTGTCTATATTTTATCACAAGCCTCCCTTGCTAAGGTACACAAAATGGCTCCCTATTACCTCTTAGATCAAGATTGAACTTCTCTGCCACCTGAAGCCACTTTTTCTCTGGGCCCTCCAGCTTGATGTCTCTACTTGATGAAATGCTGCCTAACCTTTGTGATCCATTTTGTCCCGTGTTTAGTAATGATGATACTCAGATTCTGGGCAGTGCTGACCGATAGAACTTTCTGTGATGATGGACACACTGTCCATGTTGTCTACCACTCTAGCCAGGAGCCACAGGGGGCTACTGAGCACTTGCAATGTGGCTGGGGTGACTGAGGAACTGAATTTAGTTTCTTAATTCATTTTCTTGTACATTGGCACTCATGGCAAGAGGCTACTGTATTGAAAGCACAGTGCGAGGGGCTGTTCTTTCTCTCTCTACTCCAGTAGGGGTGAGTTGCTGATTTCATGAGGCCCTCATTTCCCCCTTGTACAGAGTGTTCTGTAAACTCTTAGTAAGTGCCTTCCCCCAGGCCTCCCTGGTCTGCCTGCAGCCCCCTCCCTAGCCCACAGCCTGGTTCAGAAATCCTTCCTGAAGGGCTGGGAGCATGCACACAGTGTGCAGGGACTGGCTCACAAGCGAAGCTTATCACAGTTATTATTTTCATTATGACAAACAGCTCCATAAATAGTAACGGATTTCTTTGTTTATTTTATCCGGGAACAAGTCGCACCCACAAACAGAGACTGTTCAAAGGGACTAATAGGAAAGGTTAGTCAAAACTATGTAAAACTCAAGGCCCAGTAGGTTTTTGTCCTTGATATTTAAATCATCTCATGATATGCCTGGCTGATCAGCAATGCTGAGGGCTGAGGTGGGAGATGATCCTGACACAGGACAGAAAGTTCCCCTACTTAGTTACTGGAGTCCTCTCCCCGCCCCTTTCTCTCCCACCACCCCTACCCATCATCTCCCCCAGTTTAGGCCTAATTTCAGGGTGGAGGTTTGCACTGAGCCATCCACACTCTAACTTGTTAACATATGACCCATGACCACAGTCACACCGCCCACGCTGGAGACTGCCATAGGCACTGAAGAAACACGGTAGATGTATGGGTGAACAGCGTTGTATCTGGACTATAAAAGATGGCTAGCCAAGGCTTTGACAATATGCAGGCAGACAGGTGGCTGTCTACTTGTCACGAGGGCATTTACACCCCTCCTGGCTGGGTCTAAGAACGCCAGATTCCCATACCTGCTCCTGCCTTTGCCAGGCCATTCTGCAATGCACAGATGCTTCTTGGGGTTTTGTTTGTTTGTTTTTGTGGTTGTTGTATTTGCCACAACAGAGCGTAAACAATTTCTCAGAACGAACTATAGAATACTATCCCAGCAGCTGAGTTCTGTGTGGAGTTAATTTTCTTCAACCTGCAGAGTTTTTTGGCTCCTGTGCCCCCATCCCACTTCTTCGGTGCTGTCGGAGACCTTTAGGTTCTCCTGTCTCCTGTAGTGGTTCCAACGATTTCTGTGGATCTCTGCGGGTAGCCCATGAAGCTTGAGTCCTCAAAATCACCAGGTGATACCTGTCTGTTTTCTGCCTCTCTTGCGCTGGCTCCTCATGGTGACATGATCATTCAGAAGCCAAGTGAAGACTCCAAATTATGCCCCTGCTAGGAGGGGGCCTCCCTCACCCCCCCTCCCAAGACTAATGTTGCTTCAGCTGCATAGTGACAAAAGTCATGCTGGGTTAGGCCACACAGAAGCTATTAAGGTGGAGAGAATCACACAGCATCTGCCACAATGCCTCAGTCTTCCCTGAGTGTGTGTGTGTGTGTGAACCACTTTCCATTTGTCCCTACTATTTACTCTCTTTCAAGGTCAGATATGAGTTTTTGCAAGCTACAGTCTCAGAGCTAGAGAGCCACAGACCTGTATGCAGTTCTTCCAATTCCCTCCTCCCCATTGTACTCCTGCTGAAACCCTCCTATGGTTCCTTCAGAAGTTTTACACAGCCTTAGCATAAGGGACCAGCCCCGTGTCTGCTCTGTCGGTTACAGATCTAAGATCTGGAAGATGGCAGCTAACTAAGGAGTGAGAATCTGAGAATTTTAACGGAGGTTCCAGGATTCACAGATGCAAAGCCATGCTGCTCAATTGTCATCAAAATGTCAAATTACTTTTTACTACAATTGAGTATATGTGCTCATCTGCTGATGTCTGTCCAGAAGGAGGTTGTTGAATCAAGTATGTCTTGTCGCTTGTGTACAACATAGTATGACATCTCTGGACCCTGGTAGGAGGTAAGGGGTGACTGCCAGCTGGCATGTGACAGGAACATAGACCCCTGATCAGACAGCAATACAGGATTGAAAGGCGACATGTCAATAGGATGATAACTGGGTATAGTTGTAATCAGTGGGAGAAAGATTCTCTAACGCCACACACAACTTTGCTATTTGAAAGTATGCCATGAACATAAATAAAGCTCAAAAACCACAGGCCTAGAATGAGACAGAGAGGAAGGAACCAAAAGCAATGGGAAAAGTTGCCAATTCAGTGCATTAGGGATAGGAATGAAGGAAGAGAGAAAGCTGGATGATGGGGCGACTTTTTGAAATGAATGGGTAAGTTGAGGGAGCTCTCAAAGCTGATCTCCATCCTTGAACTAGGAAGTAAAGTCACCTGTTGATAAAAATGAGTAACATATGCTACCTTGAACTGGGAACTGTGCTAAGTGGTTTATATCTGTAAGTTTGTTTACTCTCTATAACAACCCCATAGCATAGGGACTATTATTATCCTATCTTAACCAGGGAGGAAACTGAGGCACAGAGAAGCTGCAGAATTCACTCAGGGTGGAAGTGCCAGGAAAGGAAGCACTGGTCTCTAACCAGATGGGAGGCAGCTAGGGGGTAGTAGGGTTGGCTTAGTTCAGTCGTGGCTGTTCTGGAAACCCACAAACGCTGAAGAAAAGCACGGTAAGAAGGAGACTTCCTCCCGCTGGGAGAGGAATGGAGACCCTGGGGACTGGCAAGGGTGGAACACAGTTCAAAGTCAAGGAAATGAGGAACTCCAAGGCGGTTTCAAGGGCTCCATTAAACTGTCTGGGAAAGGAGGTAGGGAAGGCTCAGAGGACGTGTTGAAATGGGGCCTCAGGCAGGGTGATCCCCCCTCCCTGTGGAGGAAAGAGGAGAGTGTTGTTCTGCATGGAGTTACGGTGGAGTTCTGGCCCTGTTCCAACGCCAGGCAGAGCTCTTATGTGAAAACAAAAGCCAGCCACACAATACGGTGGATTAGAGGGCTTGGATTCAAGTTCTGCGTTTGTGTTCTGCTGGCAGATCCATTTTCCTTCGGAACACTAGTGTGCTATCAGCCACAAGGGAGGGACAGCTGGACTGAACAGGTGGCAGGAGCGCAGCTCGGGGAGGCCCTGGGTCCAGTAGAAGAGGCTGCGGACACTCTCAGTGAGGAGGGGACAGGATGGCCCTCAGTGCCACTCATCAGGAACATTCAGGAGGTGCCAGCTTCTTGCATGCGGGCTGTGTGGACAGGACCTGGGTTTTTTTTTTTTTGGGGGGGGGTCTGGGTTTTGGAGGTTGGTTGGGGAAGGGCCCTATGGGATAATGAGACCAGAGCAAACACACCGGCTCCCCCTCGGTGAAGAATGCCCAGCAGCTTCTGGTGCCTCTGCAGCTGCAGGGGACTCACCCCGAGCCCTCAGAGCGAGGCATTCTTTTCTCCTCTCTCTTGTCAGATATCGACTCCCACGCAGGAAAAAGGAAGCACCTTGTGTCAGATGCTGCGGCCACTTCCTCTTCAGAAGTCTCCAGCCAGTGTTTCGCTTTGCAGAATGAGGGGGCCGAGGCCGGCGGCCGGACTCTCCCCTCCTCCTTCTCGGGCTCCTGACGGCCGGCCTTGGCCTCGGCGGGAGCAGGCAGCTCTCTGGGTCACGGGGGATTTTCTCTGATACAGATCTGGACCTCTGCGCAGGACCTGGCTGGGGCCCCAGCCGCCTCTCCACCCCCTCGGGGGTTCCTCTCTCTCTCTCGCCTCTCCAGCCACCCTCTCCGCTCACTGTTCCATGTCCCTCAGCCAGCCTGCCTCTCTGCTCCTCTCCATAGCTCGGTCCAGGAGCGTGATGACCGGCGAGCAGATGGCAGCCTTCCACCCGTCGACCACCCCCAACCCGCTGGAGAGGCCCATCAAGATGGGCTGGCTGAAGAAGCAGCGGTCCATCGTGAAAAACTGGCAGCAGAGGTATTTCGTGCTGAGGGCGCAGCAGCTCTACTACTACAAGGATGAAGAGGACTCGAAGCCTCAGGTACTGGCCGGGCTGTCTGTCCCCATCACCAGGGCTCTCCCCACCCAGGCCTGCAGGAGGCGGGTGTGGAGCCTGCCCAGATCCCTATCAACTCCCCAGGGCCTTCGTACTGGGCTCGGACACACATCTAGTTGAGAGGAGGTTACTCTCTCCCTTTCATCATTTCCTAGAAAAGTAACCTGAGTTGCAAAGCTGAGACAGGGTGAGACCCTCCTCCAGGAAACCCCCAGGTGAATGCCATGGAACTTCCCAAGGGCAGGCTCTAGGTCAAGGCTGGCAACGGGGCCTTAATGGTAATGATGAATATGGGGGCCCAGAGGGAGTGGATTTGGGGTCAAGAAAAATTGATCTGGGGGCTTTCATGTATTTTTTTCGGTCAATCGGTATTTATCGAGCATCTGTTATATGCCAGAACACTGTTCTGGGTACTTGGAATAAACTGGTGAGCGTTGGAGGAAGGTGTTGCAATTTTTTTTTTTTTTAAGGATGGTCAGAATGATCTGTGAAGAGAGTGACCTTTGAGCAAGGACTAAGGAGGAGAGACAAGTAGTCAGGCACATCGCTGGTGGAAGAGCACTTTTGGCAAAGGGCTAGCCTGTGCAAAGGCCCTGAGGCCACGCACGTGTGAGACATAGCAAGGAGGGTAGTGTGGGTCAGCAGAGCTAAGGACTCAGAGAAGCAGAGGGGATGAGGTCAGAGAGGTAGCGGAGGGAGAAGGGTTGAGACACATACTGCAAAAGCCATTGTATGCCATAATGAGGACTGGAGTGTTTACACTGAAGGTGGTGGGGAGAAAGGGGGACAGTCTTTGACTCACATTGTAAAAAGATGGCTATCGATATAGTGTCCAAAAATAGATTCAGGGACAGAGGGAGGAGGCGCAAGGTGAGAGGTTATGATGTTTAGCATCTCAGGGGGAGTTGTGAGCTGGAGGAAAATGGGTCAGATGCCTGATATACTTTGAAAGCATAGCAAACGGGATCTCCCAATGGGGCTAGAGGGCTTTGATCCTAAATCTTGGGCCTAGGTCTTTTCTCCCTGCATCGCTAATTCCTTGTGGCCATCATGCTGCCTGAGAGTGAAAGGGTGCTTTAGTAGTTACCCTGGGACCCCAGGAAAAAAACTGTGTCTCAGGGCAAACAGGACCCTGGTCACCCTATCTAGAGCTCATGTCTCTGGAAGTGGAAGGCAGACTTTAGAACAGTGATTCCCAACGTGGGGCACACTCCTCACAGGGGGAAAATTTGATTTTTAAAAAAATATATTTTATTGATTTTTTTACAGAGAGGAAGGGAGAGAGATAGAGAGCCAGAAACATCGATGAGGGAGAATCATCGACCAGCTGCCTCCTGCACGCCCCCCCCCCCCCCACCGGGGATGTGCCTGCAACCAATGTACATGTCCTTGACCAGAATCGAACCCGGGACCCTTCAGTCTGCAGGCCAACGTTCTATCCACTGAGCCAAACCGGTCTTGGTGGAAAATTTGTTTAAGGGGGGCAATTTGAGAATGAGTTATTAACAGTGAAGTTTTTGCATTTCTTGTGGTTCTAGGGGCTTCTATACAGTATATAAATATATATTGTGACATATTTATGCATTTTAGTATTTTGTTTTGAAACGTTATTTGCTATTTTTTATATCACTTCATATTATTATTACTTTTTAAAAAACAATTTCTTAGTGATTTCTTCCTCAGTACTTCAACTGTCTTTTCGTTCTTTAATTTTTCTCTTTCATGGATGCCATGTTCTTTGGAAGCTTGTTCAGATCAAGCTGATAGCCTTTTACGCTTCCTCTTCGTGAATAGGAGTTCAGTTTTTGAATAATAAGAATTATATGTCACACAGTGGGGGGCATCAGGGTTTTAGAGATGCTTAGGTGGGGCATGGCAAAAAAAAAAAAAAAAAAAAAAAAAAAAAAAAAAAAAAAAGGTTGGGAAGCACTGTTCTAGAACCTCCAGAACCAGAAAAAATGCCCCAAGAAGGGTGAAGATATTGGAGGTTCTTGCTAGGGTATGTGAAGAAATGAGACAGTCATTTTGGTAATAAGAGTTTTCTTTAAGGACAGACTTAAGGATCCATGATGTCTCAGCAGCTCCTAGCTAACAAGGCCCTCCACTGGAGGCTGTGATGTCTGTCACTGCACAGGCCACAAAAGGGCCAGAGACTCCCCTCCCCACCACTCCTTTCTTGCTCAGCGTCCTGTGCGTGGTGACCAGATTTCCTTCACTTTATGAACAAGCCAGTTCTATCAGATCCAAGTACAGGCTCAGAGGGTGGTAACTGGTGGGTTGATAGCTGATGCTGGAAGTCTCCCCTCAGCAGAGAGCCAGGGAAATGGCAACAATGTGTGGGCTTTCCTGGTTGAGCGGAAAGGACAGCTCAGCAGGGTCTCCTTCCGTGAGGCGTGGAGGGGGGCAGGTATGCTTTCTCCAAGCCTGTGTTCTTTTCCTGGCTCTACTACCCTCTGACCATGTGCTTACTTAATTTTTCTGGACACCCTCCCTTTTTTTGGCTGTAAAATTAGACAGTCCTACCTGGTCTGTATTTGTCATAGGATCAAATGATATGTAACACATGTAAGACAATTCTGTCTTGAAAAAGCATAAATGATGTCAAAGGGTGAAATAAATTCGTGAAGGTCCTAGCTTCTCTCCCTTACGTCAGGGTTATAGTAGTCTGGGAAAATTAGGTAAAGCTGCTTCTAGGATGACAAGTAGGGTTTATTTGTAGGAAATCTCATAATATATTTGGTCAATAGGTAGAGAGCAATAAATCAAATGAGAAAAACTATACTACCCTTAAGTTGATGGCTGAAAAAAAGCATGGGGTAAAATTAAATACTCATTTCAGATATAAAAAGTTTATTTTTTAAAAATGTTTTTAGGAATACAGTGAATTTTTTAGAAAGAATATTTTACTTTACTTGAACATGTATATTTTGATTATAAAAGCTATAGGTGTACATAATGGGAAATTTGTAAGATGTGGGAAAGCATAAGGTAGGAAATAAAAATGATCCCATTAGCAAAAATAACTACCCAAATCTTCTCTCTCTCTCTCTCTCTCTCTCTCTATATATATATATATATATATATATATATATATATTTAGAAACTTGTCTATTCTCTCTCTCTCTCTCTCTCTCTATATATATATATATATATATATTTAGAAATTTGTCTATTCTCTCTTTCTCTCTCTCTCTCTCTCTATATATATATATATATATATACATTTAGAAACTTGTCTATTCTAAACATAATAATATTATTTAGTTAAAAATTTAACAATATGTTGTGAATATTGTCTATTATATAAATATTCTTCTACAATGTAATTTTTAATGGTGATAAAATAATCTAATGTATGGACATTTTATAATTCATTTAATTAATTTCCTACTGGAAATTAGTTGAGAAGTTGGGTTGATGTTCCTATATTATTACAAACAAGAATTAAAAGGACATCCTTGTAGACTTTTAATATATCTATAATTACTTCATTAAGATAAAGAAAAATCTATTCAAAGAGTACTTTTATTATGCTACCATTTAACATTGTTGGGGGATTCACAGGCATTGCAAATACCTAAAATGAAATGACAGTTATAGGCATGAGCTAAATTCTTTGGAAAAAGTAATGGCATGGTTCCAAACCATGTTTTACACCATTCATGCTTCTGGATGGATTAAAGACTTAAATGTAAAAAAAAATGAGCTAATAAAAATCCTAGAAGAAAATGTAGTTATCCTCATAATCTTTAAGAGGCAGGTGTTTTATAAACATAGCAACAGAGAGTATCAGAGAAAGCAAATTTAATTGCATAAATTAAAATGTCCATACCTTACACGAAAATCAACATAATAAAGTGAAAAGTCAAATATAACAAGCATAAAAAATTGTTTATGTAGATATAACAAACAAATACTTCTAATATTTAAAGTATTCTTTCAAGGCTATAAGAAACAACTCAATAGAAAAATTAGCAAATGACACAAGTGGATAATTTCTCCAAAAAATGCAATGGACAAAAGCAAATAAAAAGTTCAATCTCATTAATAATTTAAAAACATGCAATGTAAACCAATGAGATACTACTGCTCCCTTATCAATTTGGCAAGGATTTATTTTTAAATCAAATTGCCAAAAAAACTTTTAGACATTTTAGTGTTGTAGGAAACAGGAATTCTCATGCATAGCTGGTGGAAATGACAATCCATACAACCTTTCTGGAATATGCCTTTTAAAAATGCAAACCCTCCAAGGGCCTAGGAGTTCATGGAGCCAACTGAATGCTTGAAAATTGCCCAATTACCACTGTCATTCCCAGCACAGGGAAGTCCCTGACAGTATGTTTATTTCTTTGCCATCCTGTTTCATGAAAGAATGATCAGGCATCAGTGTAAAACCAACCCCTAGGAAAGCCTGTTACCTGAGGCTCCTTATCCCCTGTGCCTGTGGTTCTGCCCTTCATGTCCCCTCATGCAGCCCAGCAGGTAGCACGGTCCATCTGACCTTCACAAAGACCTGATATCTGGTTTGGCCAGGAAATCAGGTCCTTGGAAAAGTGGGAAGAGGCAAGCGTTGGTGAAGATGCCCCCTCAGCTCATTCTCCTGTCAGGACTTTATCCTTAGCTTGTTCTCCGATAGCTACCATTTTATTTGATTGAGGCCTGAATAGCGGAAGGGCCTAGCTTTCCATGTTCTTCTCCATCCCATCGCTACCCTACCTGTCTTCCAACTTAAGGTTAGTTAATAGGCGATGAAATTGCTGCCCATCATAAAGGCCTGACTTTTGATCTTTCAGGGTTGTATGTACCTACCTGGAAGTACAATCAAGGAGATTGCCACAAACCCAGAAGAAGCGGGGAAGTTTGTCTTTGAAGTCATTCCAGGTAAGTGACAAAAGGTGGGCCAGAGGTATATTACATTCTTATTTTCTTCTGGATCCTATAAGCCAAAGATATATCAACAGCTAATCAACCAACCTACTAAGAATGCACAGTAGGCCCATAGCCAGTTCACTCAGTGGTTAGAGCATCAGTTAGCGGACTGAAGGTTTGTGGGTTCGATTCCTGTCAAGGGCATGTGGGTTGCAGGCTCAGTCCCTGGCCCTGGTTGGGGTGCATGTGGGAGGCAACAAGTTGATGTATCTTTTTCACATTGATGATGCTCTCTCTTCTCCCCCTCCCTTCCATTCTCTCTCTAAAAAAAAAAATAATAATAATAATAATAATAATAATAATAAGAATGGAAAAATATCCTCCGGTGAGGATTAACAAACAAAAGAATACATAGTAGTTCCATATATAGTCAAGGAACCATACCAGCTCATTAATTAGCAAGCAAACTAAGTGGGTGTGTATTCGGTTCAACTTTGTATGCATTTCCTGAGCATGGACACTAGGCACTGGGACCCTGATCTGGAAAGTATATCATCCCGGCTCACTAAAGGAAGTTCAGTCTAGAAGGGGAGTGGGACATTAAAATTAAACTCTAAACTGAACAATGTGAAATTGCCATTTTGGCAGGTGGAAAGTAGTTGACAGTCAACCGTCTCTCCTGTGGTTCAAGAAATGACAGCTCCGACTTGCTGAGCACTTAGCTCGTGTCAGGTGCTGCCATTCACCTATTCAGCATGTTAGCAGCACACAGGATGGTGCTTTTCCCAATCAAGAGTCACTTTACCCTCCAGGAATGCATTTGGGACAAGGGGAGCTTGTCCTGCTTTGTCTCAGGGGGAGTTTGTGTTTGTGTGAAACCATCACACTTAGGCTGCTTCTCCCTGTCTCTTGCTCCTTTGCCAGCCCGGTCCCGCCAGGAAATCCAGGTCTGCAGCTTAGGCCGAGCAGCCAGGCAGCTGCACCATGCTGACATAACAGGGCATGGCACCTATCTCTTGAGCACCCCTCTCCTTTGCTCCCCCCTCACCACTCTCATGAGGCAGCTACATGTGTAAGAAACTTGGTGGAAAAGGCAGTGTAGCAGAGAAGTTAGATGTGTTCCATCTGGAGCCATCCTGCCCGGGTCCAAAACCTTTCCTGCTGTTTACTATTTGTGTAACTGTGATCAAGTTCTTTCATCACTCTCTGTCTCTGTTTCTTAATCTGCACAATAGGACCAATGATATGTCATGTAAGTGTTTGATATTTGGCAAAGAACTAGAGGAAATTATAATGTAGAAGTGAATCCTAAAGTTGGCTATTCATATAAAACAAAGAAAAATATTTCTTTTTACTTCATTATTATTTTAAAAATATATTTTTATTGATTTTTTACAGAGAGGAAGAGAGAGGGATAGAGAGTTAGAAACATCGATAAGTTGCCTCTTGCACATCCCCTACTGGGGTTGTGCCTGCAACCAAGGTACATGCCCTTGACTGGAATAGAACCTGGGACCTTTCAGTTCGCAGACCAATGCTCTATCCACTGAGCCAAACCAGTTTCGGCAAATATTTCTTTTTAAATTCTGCTCTTTCCAGGGAGCCTTCTCATGGGTCCTCTCTTGCTTTTTTATCTGAAGGTCTATCCATATCTCTTCCTCCTCAGAGGATGAGCTTTTTTAGCCTCTCCTCTCTGGGGAACCCATCTCTTTCCCAGGATTTCCTCCCCAGCACCATTCATGGGTTGCCACCATCCATGGTCATATGTGTCCCAAAGCCTGAATTTTCAGTTGAGGGTAGCTCTACTGAAAACTCTAACTGCAAACTCAATGTGGTCTTTTCACCGAAGTCCAGCACCCTCAAAGATTGCTGTGCTAGGGTAAAATGAAGATTTATTCTCTCATTTTCACTCACACATGCAGGAAGGCTGCTGGGGAAATTCTTAGAACACACACACAACCACACACACACACACACACACACACACACACACACACGCTCATAAAGAAAAACAATTCTAAAGCATGGTAAGGTAGGAAACAATTTTCCTGAAGGTGCCATCTTTTCCAAGTCTCCACCCAGATGCAACCCTTTACGTTATGATGCAGAGAATTTTCAGTCCCTTTTTGTCATTCTCCTGTGCAAGACGATTCTAAGGGGCCATTGCTGGCATAAGGAATGGCCTTGCTAAGCAGGGCCAGGATTTCTTGTAGTTATGTTTTTCTTTACTTGGGACAGGCAAAAGTTTAGGGCAAGCTTCCTTCTCCCTTCTTACCGCTCGCAGAAAAATATCTGGTCTCCCACCCAAAGGGAGTCCCGAGGGATAAGGGCGTTATTTCTTCCGGTGCATATGTTGCCTGTGATTTTCATATTATTAGATGTCATTCTCTTATTCAATAAATTTATTGAGCCACAAGCCTGGCACTATTATAGGAACTGGGAATCCAACAAAGAACAAAATAGCCTGCATATAGCCTATATGGGAGGAGAAACAAATGAGTAAATTGTATAGTTTTTATGGTGGTAAAGTGCTATGAAAAAAATTAGGCAAAGAAAGACAAAGTGCTGGTTGAGATGGGGATGGCAGTGGTTGATTTGTCATTTTTAATGGAGCAGGAAAAGTAGGCATCATTGAGAAGGTGACTTTTGAGGAGTGATCTGAAGGACGTTAAGGAGTGAACCAAGTACCCATCTGGAGGAAGAGCATCCCAGAAAGAGGAACAGTCAATGCAAAGTCTCTGAGCCTATTCACATGTTCAGGAAACATCAAAGAGACCAATGTGGTTACAGTGGAATGATGACAGGAAATAAGAGTAAGAGATTTAGTCAGGGGCGAGCTCAGCTTTTACTGGCACTTACAGGCAATTGTAAAAAGTTTAGTTTTTATGCTATACGAATGGGAAGGAATTGGGAAGTTTTGACCAAAGAAATGACATGATCTGACTTATGTTTTGCCACTCTTTTGAGTTGAGAATAAAAAGAGACAAGGACAGAGCAGGGAGACCAGTGAAGAGGCTATTGCAATCATGCAAGTGAGAAAAGAGTACAGTGAAAGGGTGAGAAATAATTATTTCTGGATATATTGTAAAGGTAGACGGGACTTCATTTGCTGATAGATTGGATATGGGAAAGAGAAGCAAAGGTTAACTGCAAGGTTTTTGCCTAAACAATTGGAAGAATGTATTTGCTGAGATTTGTGAAATTTTTTTGGGGGACGAGCAGGCTGTAGTTTTGGACATCTATAATAATAAAAGTGTAATATGCTAATTAGACCAAATGTCCTTCCATCTTTCCAGACAAAGCCAGGGCTGCGAGGGAAGCCTGGGTCCTGGGTGCCAGAGGGAAGCCAGTGCTGGCAGCTGGGAGGGGGGTGGGGGAAGGAAAGCCTACTTTTGCGTGATTTTCGTGCATTGATCCTCTAGTATTAAATAATTGCCTAGATGTTAATGATAAGGAAACTAATGTTCAGAATAATTTAGCTACTGCTGTGAGAGAGGTAAGAATAGGATGATAAGGGATTTAGAATAGGGACTCCCCACTTATTTTGAAGTGGGAAGAGATGATATTAAGAAATATCCCTGGAGAGGATGACATTTGAGCTACGTTTTTGAAAATGGGTAGGAGTTGCTCAGGCAGGGAAGAAAAGAAGGGAGGCTTCTTTCTGATAAGGAAATAGCCCAATATATGACACATCGAACAAACTGTTTAAGTCAAAGAAAGCAGGTTCCTGAGGGTAGAGCTGCTATTCATGGGCTTTGTATTAATTAGGCAATTTCTCCCAAAGAGAGCCCATCCTCGCACTTCAATGTGCATATTTTTAGAGGGCAACAAAAGATATTCAAATTCCCTTTGGACCTGGTTTCTTAAACCTGTAGTAATATCACTGTGCCTCACCTTCTCTACCCTATGGGATGGCCAGATTTTGAATCTATGTTGGTATTGGGTCATCAGATCTTCTGACCAGAAGGGTGAACCCATGGAAGTCTTGGCCACTCTGCAACATCTTGAGAGCTGGATGTTTCTCCATGGGGTTGCCATGGTCAAACTGAAGGATCTCTCAAGAATCAGGGTAAACTGAAAGACAGTTCTTAACAACAGAATGGATTGGGGTGTGGGCATAATGGATTGGGGTGTGGGCATGATGGGGAAGGACACCGGATACCTTTTGGCCAAAATTGGGAGCAATATGGCCTCGTGAAAACTCTTCTTGGAAGAAAGACCAGTAGCCCTGCCCTGAGTTTGGCAGTAACTTGCTGGGTACCAATGAGCAGGTGCCTTTGAGTTTCTGGCCTTCAGTTACATTACCTGTGGAGAGGAAATGATACTAGAGCAAAGGGATGTTGTGATTTCTATGGAATGTTTCAGTTCTGCCTTGAGAACTTTTTACTTCCCAGTCTACTTTTGGAAATACCCAGCTCTCAGGATGTTCCTAAATAGCCATGGCCCCCGTGGACTGACACTTCTGGTTAGAATAGCCAATAACCCAATGATAACATAGATTCAGGATTAGGTCATTACAAAGGATGAAAGAAGGTGTGGCTTGGTGGCATTAAGATGGGTTCAAGAGACCAGAACCAGTGGGACTTTGAAAGTCTTTTGCTTTCCTGAAAGAAAAGATAGGTTTGAGCACAAATGTGGTGCTAAAACAGGCTCTCTTTGAGGGAAATGCCCTGACATCGAGAGAAGATTGTGTTGATGTCTGCAAAGGTACTTTGAAATTTATTAGGATCTTATAATTGAAAAGGGTTGCTATTATTTTCTTGTCCTACCCAGGACCCATGTTTGATGCTCTCCTTCTTCCCTTCTCCTCCTCTCTCCCTATTGTTCTCTATTATCGTTTTCTCTCTTGGTCTCCTCCTGTACCCTCTATAACTCCTGTCATTTTGTCCACCCTTTTGTCCATTTGAGAACATCAATTCAGGAAATTCTGCACCTATTCCTTTATAATCTTGTGTTTAAAGTAAAAATGGTACTAATAAATAAAGTCCTAACAAGCTTCGTTTGTCAATTAAACATGAGTTGAGAACCTACCTTTTGCAATGTCTTGTGCAGATGGGAGAGCGGTAATCCTGAACAGGAAGCACCGATTTCATGAGAAACACACACACATGTTTATTGTTCCTCCCTCCTGAGTTGCTGTTTCCTTCCCTATCTCCACAACTGAGTTTAAGAGTAGCTTAGGAAACTGCCCAGGATTGGCATAATGAACTGAATGGAATCTTCAAACTTGTATGGGGTGATCCTCTCTCCTCTAATACTGAACCTGCCTCATGAATTTCCTCCTCCTTTTTGGTAGCAAATGGCTTCTGTCCTCCACAGGAGTAGCTGTCAGCTCAAGTCACCCTGATGCAAGCCATGTGGCCAGTGATTGTCTAGAGAACTAGAGCATCAGCAAAAACAATAAGGGTGAACAGATATTCAGTGTCACTGAGAATAAGCAGATAATGCTTTGGTGTTGTTTAAAGGAAAAAATTGAACCATGGAAGCAATTCAGGTTCAGCTTTTCTTTGCTTCCTCTTGCTCCAGCCCCTTTCCACTCTAAGACCTTTATTAGTGTTGCTTCTTCCTTTAGCCTCATGGGACCAGAGTCGCACGGGACAGGACTCCTATGTCCTCATGGCCAGCTCCCAGGCAGAGATGGAGGAATGGGTTAAATTCCTGAAGAGAGTCGCTGGCACACCCTCTGGAGGTAAGGACCCCGACAGGCTTTCCTGGGCAGGTGTCTGTAACATCTCTGTGAAGGGAGGGAAGTAGCTCTAGATACAATCTTCCCTTGAACAGTGTTCAAAGGCCAAAGGACAACTCTGAGGCCATGCTCATTGTCAAGCCTCTAGCTTCCTGTCCCAGGTGATCTCAGCTGATGTTGGGAGTCTACCTGAGAACCTAGGGTCTGGGGCAGGGAGGCAATTCTGGGGTCTGTGACCTACAATGTGGGCACTACAAGAAAATAAGTAATTTGGAGGGGACAGCCAAACTCAAGAGTGCCTGCCTAAGTCATCCTGAACTGTGGTAACCTATTACAAAAAAGAATAACATGGTTTCATTAAACATTTCCCAATAATTTTATGGTGCTAATCAGGCTGAAATGAAGCTTTTCTATACTAAAGCTCTATTATATACTATCCAGTTTGCATAAAGGTAGCTTCAACCTTCCTATTGTCCTGGATTGTGAAATGGTTGACATTTTCTGTTTTCTCCAGCACTTTAGGCTGTCTGCATTGACAAAGGTCGTGGATATTGCCTAATCATATACCTAACCTTAAACCTAACCTAACCTAACCCTAACTTTAACCCTAATCCTAACCCTAACCCTAACCCTAACCTATGCCCTGTAGCCAACATCTGTGTCCCTTGTGCTTGGCTCAGCCCTGCCACTGCACTCTGCTTTACTGTGTCATTGTCCACATGGGGATCTCTCCCTCCCCCTTCCTCAAGGCCAACATCCTAAGAAAGTCCTATAGACTGGGGGAAGTCCAAGGGATAAGAAAACAGAGTACATGACTATTTATTTATTCAAGGAACAGGGTTTGGCTTTGCTGTGGCATTTCAGATGTTGAACCCAAATAATAGATCTCAGGATGAGAAGGCATTTGAAGATAGCAGAGTCCAGTCTGAGGTCCTGGGGCAAGTGAGCTATCTGTTTTTTTCTGTTTGTAAGTCAGGAAACTTCAGTCCTGAAGAAGTAAATAATTTGCCCAAGGGATCCAGCCATGGAGCAGCAGGGCCAGGGCTCCTGCCTCTGTAGGTAGCTCACTTCCACTTGTATAGATCCCCTGGTTCTGTTAGCTGGGCAGAGCAAGCACCCTCAACCACTGAGAAGTCTGAGAATGTTGCTGCTGCCTCATTTGTGAAATTTCCTATGGATTTTCCCACCCAGAACCTGCTCACTGCTCATGACCTTCACTGTACCATTCTTGAGGTGTTATACTGCTTTAGTCTGAATTATAGTCTGTCTTCCACAGAACAGCCAGAATGAACTGTTAAACCTGTTTGTCAGTGGAGTCCTCCTCCACTCAACACTGTCCCATAGCTTCATCTCTACCTCGAGGAAAAGTCAAAAGCTTATAATGAACCACAGTGCACAATCTGCCCCATCCATTACCTTTTACCTTATCTTCCAGTACCTCCTGCTGTGCTTATTTCACTCCAAACTCACCAGTCTCCTTGATCTTCTCCAAACACCATGGAAATGTATCTGACCAGGGTCCTTGCACTTGCTGTCTGTAATTCTCTTCCCCCAGGTAGCTGTATGGTTTGGTCTCTTGCTTTGTTTCTGTCTTTGCTCAAACATCACCTCAGTGAGCCTGCCCTTAATCATCTCATTTAACATTGAACCCCTTCCCTGCCCTTCTCCCAGCACCCCCCAACCCCCTTTCCTGCTTCATTTTTCTCCTTTCCTTCCTTCTTCTAACATGCTAAATATTCTACTCATTTGTTTTGAGTTGGTTACCCCTCACTAGAATGAAAGCTTCAATCTGTTTTGCAGGTATTTTCCCCTCTATTTTGGGGATGCTGTATCCCAGAATCTAAACAGTTTGTGCTCAATAAATGTTTTTAAAGGAGTAGGCCCAGGAATGGTCCCCTCTATCCAAGCAGCTCTTTGTTCTACTCCCCTAGGCTGTCCACTTTGATAAATGACTACCAGCTTATCTGCAAAATTATTCGGTAAATGGGTTGCTCCCTCTAGAATGATATTCCTTCAAGTACATTAATGATGAGCTTTAGTGAAGTTCTTTAGGGTTCATGGACGCCTTAAAGAATTCAATAAAAGCTTTGGATTCTCTCTTCGAAGATACATTTAGACAAAATAATTCCGAGTTCAACTGCAGGGTATTTTCAGACCCCAATAATCATCTACACCCTCCAAGTAATGAATCCCAACTCTTAAGTTTTCGAAGTCACTAGTGACAGTTCTGCAAAGCTAAGGCCTCTTCCTGCCCCAGTCCCCTTCCTGGTCTCCATTCTCCTTGATGGGAAAGATGGCCTACGTGGTTTCCACAGCATACCCAACTTCTTCCCTGTGGCTCCTCCTGTCTGGTAGCTGGCCCTGAGCATTCCTCTCACCTTATCTGATTCAGGAACCAATTCCAGTGTGAGAGTGGATGTTTCTTACACGTCATAGACATCAGCTGGGAGTCCTGCAACTTAACTCAGTACTGACATTACCCAAATAGCATCAGATTCCACAGCCTAAGGGCCCAGTCCTACAAGACTGACCCCAATCACGTACACAGTTCAGATGTCTTGGCAAGTCCAGCTGTCAGCTGTGCTTCAGGATGGCTGACTATAGATGGGAATTTCCAACAATGACCTCCTTGGTTTTGATTAATTTGCTAGAGTGGCTCACAGAACTTAAGAAACCAGTTTACTCACTATATGCCAGTTATTATAAAAAGATATAACTCAGAAATAGCCAGATGGAAGAGATACAGAGAGCAAGGTGCGGGGAAAGGGACATGGCCTCTACAGGAGCTCCACTCTCCTCTCATCTCCATGTGTTCACCAGCCCAGAAGCTCTCAGAACTCTGTCCTTTGGGTTTTTATGGGGCCTCATAACACAGATATGATAGATTAAATCATGGCCATTGGGAATCGATTCAACCTCCAGGCCCTCTCTCCTCCCCTGACTTGTGAGTTGAGAGGGTGGGATTGAAAGTTCCAACCCTCTCGTCATCTCGTGCTTTCCAAAAGATTAAAGATACCTTTATAACTCTCATAATGGAAGTTCCAAGAGTTTTATGAGCTCTGTGCCAAGAAACGAGTCAAAGACCAAGTATATATTTCTTACAATCAATCACTCTAGACAGCAGCACCTTCCCCAGAAGTTCTGGATGCAATTCCAGGTTTTTGCAACGTAAGTAGGATAAAGGGAAGATCGGAGATCACATCTCCACTTCTGGTGACTTGTTCTCAGGCTCATAGTTGCCAGTTTTCTTCAAAACACCTCCTCCTTTTAGTAAAAGGGCTCTGCCTCCGCTGGATCCCCACATTGAAACCTGGTCTCTGTCCCATCTCCGGGGATCAGGCAGCTCACATTGCAAATTGCTACTCAGTCGGGACATGTTCTGCCCTTTTCCTCTGGAGGCTGGCCATCTGAGGCATTTCTCAGGCCACTGCTGAGCACATAAGCACTGCACTAAATTGTGTACACTAGTAGGCTTGCTCAGCCCAACCAGATAATAAGACCCTGGAGTATTAGTATGTCCCATGTGTTAAGCATCTTTTCTGTTTGCCAACACTAGGCTTAGAGTATATAAATAAGGAATTGTTAAGTGCCTAGGTTCCTTTGTTTCCTCTCATTTTTGAAATTCTCTTGTCCTTCAGAGCATGAATTCAGAATCTGTAGAGCAGTGTAACTCATGAGAGAGTGCTGTGTCTGCCATTTATTGTTCCATGTGTTTTGGTTCTTTCTCTCTAGTTAAAGTGGACCTTAAAAGGAATAATTTTTTACTTATTTTTATTAATTCCCTCATTCCCCTCCCCCAGATCCTTACACCAGACAGATACAAGTTTATTCATGAACTCAAACAAATGTTTTTTGAGAATGTGTTATAATAGGCCAAGCATTGTGCTAGCACCAGGGGTATAATAGTGAAAGAGATAGTGGTGGAAGCAGTGAGGAAGAAAGAGAAGAGGAAAAAAAGGCAAATTCCTTTCTCTCAAGGAGCTCACAGTATAGTATAAGACACATAAATTAATTAAACACACACACACACACACATACACACACACACACACACAAAGAAACCTATGTAACTATAACTCTGAAAAAAAATTTGTCAAATTTCTTGACAAATACAATCCTCCCCTACCCCCTATCTTATCAAGGAAAAACACATGATAAGATAGGGGGTAGGGGAGGATTGTATTTGTCAAGAAATTTAGGGAAGCCCCCAACTAGTGATGATTCAGTTAAATCTGAAGGGTTAATAGAGGCTAATTAGGCAGAAAAAGAGGAAGAGGAAGTGTCTCTGTCAGAGAAATAGCATGTGCAAATGTCCTGTGACAGAAAGAACAGGTTCTGAATTGAGAGAAAGGTGAAAACAGTGAAGATAGCCCTGATAAAGATGTTGGCTTGGAAGAGGGTGATGGTGGAGATGGAGAGAAGTGACTAGGTCTGTGCAGCATTTTACTGTAGAGGTGACACTGCCAGACCTGAGAGTGAATTCCACATGAAGGAGAATGTGGGGTCCAAGATGAGTCCTCTATTCCTGGCCTTTGAGTGAATGGAGGGATGAACACTTGGTTGGCAGCATTGCACTGCCCAGGCCTTTCCTGGCAATCCTCCCTGCTCCTGACTATCTCAGCCTCACTCCCATCCCCCCCCCCCACCCCCATCTCTTACCCCAGTTATGCCAAAAGTCCATTTCAAGTCTCCTGGGCCTATCTGGTAGGGTTGCTGCACTATTTGCTAAATCATCTCCACGGGAGGGGGAAAAGCATCTCCCGTTAGCCAGCAACCCACCTCCAAGACTATTCTCTGTGAAGGCTCGACCGAACCAACCTGCAACTGTGAAAGCATTTCCAGAGAAGGGTGGGCTGGCTTCATCAACACTAAGTGAAATCCTGTGTTCCTGCCAGATGCTTTGATATATGGGGCAATGCTGGTAAGGGCTTGCGTGAGGGAATTTTTTTAACCCACCTCCGTGGTATCCCTTGAATGGCAGTTGACAATTAGCTGCTAAGTAA